ATAGGTCTGAGCATATTCTTATCTGATTGCCCTTATAGGTAACTGTATTTTTTTTTCCCTCTAGCTGCTCTTTTGATTTTCTCCTTTTTCTTAAAGTTGTGTACTTTGCCTACAATATGCCTTGGTGTATTCTTCTTGAGATTCAGTCTAATTGGTGTCCTCTCCGCTACCTGGATGATTGCCATGTCCTCCGTGGAAGTTTTCTTCCAAGAATTCCCTTGCTATTTTGGCTGTTGATTTAGTCATTAACTCTTGCTCTGGTATTTCTATTATTCCAATATTGTTTCTCTTCATATCATCATTCGTTGTTCTCAGGTTTTCTTCAGCTTCTTTATTTATCTTGTTTGAGTCACGTTTGTTGAAATCTGCTTCGATATCTTGGAGGTCACTAATAGGGTTCTCTGCTTCTTCCAGCCTATTAGTGAGGCCTTTTACCATCTTTGTTTCTGCTGCATCTTCTTATAACTTCTTATTTCCGTTCGGTATGTGGCCTCTATTCTATTTTTTCATCCTTTTTCTGTATTAATTCACTCATATCCTGTGTGACTCTAAGCAGCATTCAAAAGATTTCTTTCTGTGGTGGCTCAAAGTCTGCTTCTTCTATGTACATGATTATGTTCAGGTCATCCTCAGACATTGCGTTTTGCTTTCTTGTAGTGGCTGCTCGTGTGAGTTGTTGTCTGTGTGGCATTTTAGTAGAGCTTGGTGCCATTTTCCCGGGATTCCAGGAGCCCTTTCTTGGAGGCTAGTAAGAATAGTTTTAGGGACTTCCTGGAGCCAGCTGCACTGCTAGTTCAAGCTGTGTTTCTGTCTCACTAGGGTTGACTTTCTCCCTAGGCAGCCGGCGTTATCTATTAGGAGGGCAGCGCAGGTGGTGCTCTCAGGCAGCATTGGCAGGGTGGTCATGAGCAATGAGGATTGTACTGTACAGGCCGTGCACATGCAGTGCAGGCCGCCACTCACAGGCCACAGGGTGCACGGGACAACTCAGAGGACCTGTGCGCAGGCCATTCACAGGCGTCGTTCATGTGCTGCAGCACCAGGCTGTTCATGAGCAGGGGGTTAGCACTGGACAGGCCAATTATCCACAGGCAGTCTGGCTTTCACCGGTACACAGTAGGCGAGGGAGCTACTCGGGATCCTGTACCAGCCAGTTGCAGGTGCTAGTTGAGAGCATCAGGGCCAGGCCAGTCATGAGCAGTGGGGATGGCACTTGGCAGGCTGATCCCTTGTACTCAACCAGCATTCAGGGTCCACGGCATGAAAGGGAGCCACTCAGGGGACCTGTTCACAGGCTGATCGCAGGAACTGGTTACAGGCACCAGTCATGCACAGCAACCCCAGGCCAGTCATAAGCACGACACATTGGGGGAGGGGGGGTTGTTGTAGGGAAACAGGGCGGGCAGGGGTCTCCAGGGCTGGGGAGAGCCAGGAAGTGCCAGTACATGCTGCTGTGCTAGGAAACAACAGGGGCCATGGTGCAGGGGAATCCCAGGGGGACCCATGTCATGGCAAGCACAGCTGTGCTGACCATGGGAAGACCACTGTAAGGTCCCCAGAGCAGTGTGAGATCAGGGCTAGGTCAGAATCCCTCAAATTGGCCCCCTCGCCTGCAGATCCAGCAATTACCCACAAGGAGCTGCAGACGCTTATCCCCATCTGTATCTCTTGTCTTGATGGAGTTCAACTTCTAGTAACCTCTTGGGGAAAAGGAGCGTGGAAAGTACCTTTTTTGCTTCGTTAGTTTATTTATCTAAAGGTAACAATTTTTCAGTCATCATAATGCTTGATAGTGTCGGTATGATAATATAGGTTGAAAATTATTCCACACACTTTTGACAGCATTCTCCCAATGTCTTCTAGTTTCCACTGCTGTTGTTTGGTAGCCATTCTAGTCCCCTTTGTGTTCCCAGAGGTGTGAAGTTTCCCTAATATTATGGACGGTTCTTTTCTTCATTCATATAACAGATAATTGGTTGGCTTTTTAACTCTGAAAATGCAGTTATAAGAAACTGTTATATTCTTGATCATTTCTTCCTCTATCGTATTGTCTAATCTTCCTTTTATAATCCTGTTAATCTGTTAATGTATTTTCCAATTGTATCCTGTTCCCATACATGTTTGGAGGTGTTAACTTTCTTCCTTCACCTTTCCTTCTCTTTTTTCCTCCTGGTTCTTTTATACTCTTATCTCTTTAATGTGACATGCTTCCTTCGAGTGTCTAGCAATCGCTGTCCTCAGATCTAAGAGTAAGCTAGAAGCTTGCTGGGGGTAAAAAAAGTTTTGTGATCATGGGTAAGACTTAGTGGTGGGTGGTCTTCACTGTCAAACACTTGGGTATAGTTGTTTTTGGATTGTGGAACTGCTATGTGTCGGTCTTTGGTTATTTTGTTTTGTTTTCATTGAGACTGTTAATTCTATCTTATAAAGGATACTCCACATTCCTGAATGAAAGGCATGGGCATAGAACCTTCTACCAACATTTTGGAGTTGGATGAAAGAAGAAATTTCATTATATATATTAATTCACCTCTTTTTTAGGTTGTATTTCACTGTGCCATTTGCTGTGTCCAGTATCCCTTTGTCTAGAATTCATCTGGTTTAAATGATCCAGTCTTTCGTTGAAGTGAGGGAAGGGTAGTTGCTTGGTTGCCTTGTAGGATTATGGGTATTATCCAATACCAATTTTAAGCCCCCACTTCATCCTGGCCTCTCTACTATATCTGATTACTGAGTGTGTTAGTCTGGGTAGGCTAGAGAAACAAATTCATAGAGACACTCATGTGTCTAAGAAAGAGCTTTATATACAAGAGCAACTGAATTATTGAGAAAACTTCCCAGTCCAGATCAAGTCCATAAGTCCAATATTAGCCTGTATGTCTGATACCAATCTATGAATTCCTCTTCAGACTCATGCAACACATGCAATGACACTGAATGCAGGAAGATCACAGGCCAGTGGGTGGAAAGTCTTGTGTGTACAGTGGCAATGGAAGCATCTCAGTGCTGGTGTAGATCTCCACGTGGCTCCTTCAGCTCCAGGGCTCTAGTGTAGCTCCATGTGTCTTGTCCCACCTCACAGGGAGTGCCTGCGTCCCACCTCCAGTGAGCTATTTATCTCCCTAGGGCCTCCAAATGAAGTCATCAAGCTGTGACCTGATTGACAGGCTAAACTCTACCCCTTCACTCTTAAGTCTCATCTTGACAACAGATTATGTAACTACCACACTGAGTCTTTCCGTGGTTTGACACTGGAGAACTCTTGCTTCTAATCTCAGAAGGCTTTTAGTTTTCACTTTCCTTCTTTAAAACTATACCTACATTCGCTTTCTGTTTTCACATATGCTGATTTCTTGGCATGTTCATGAAGTTGAAGTTCTTGTATATGCTTCTTGTTGGATTCCGTGATTTTGGAGATACACAGAAAGAAGACTTGAAGTCTGGTAGTAGCACTATCACCACATATCTTGGGTAAATCTGAAAGAACTTTGTTCAAAGAACATTTGTTATTTGGAATTTCCCAGGTACTGAAGTAGTAGCATAGACTTAAAATATATATACTTGAGTAGACATGGGTCCACAGACTATCTTCTTAATGCATAGCTACCCTTGTTTGTCAGTTCTAGATATGGCTAGCCTCAAGCCTCCAGAAATTCCTTGCTTCGGTGCATTTGAGGGGCTGATGACACTTTTTAGCTAAAAGGACTGCTGAACTTCAGTGCAAACCCAGCGCCCTCTCAGAGGAAGAAAGATGAGGCTGTCTGCTGCTTTGGAGATTTGCAGCCTCAGAACCCGGAGGCAGGGTGGCTGTGAGACAGAATGGACTCAGTAGCAGTAGGGTTGAGTGTCACTTTTTCCCCCTATGTTTAAACTAATTAAAAAGCTTAGAGAGAGATGAAAAATATCAGATGTAATACTCATAAATGCTAGGCCAACCAATGCACCTTAAGTGGACTGCAGTGGGCTTCATAAAGAGACCACTACACTAATAAATACCCTACTGACCCCTCATGGTATAGTAATCTACTTGTTGTGCTGGTTTCTACTCCCATAAACATAGACAGCTTCAAAAACCCAGAGGTTTTCTAGTATCGCCATGGCTAGGAGTCAGCTCAATAGGGAGTGAATCTGGACTCGCATGCCCTAACAGCTTCTTCGAATGTCTTCTTGGAACTGCTGTTGGGGATTTTAGAATCTACCCCCCTGCCAAAGGCTCTGAATGTAGTCAGAATATCATATAATTCTAGGCAGCACTAACCCCCAACTGAAAATCCATCCTCTTTTATTTTCCATCATGACAAATAGAGCTCAGGTATTTTGCAGTGAGGTTAAATGAAATAATGTCACCTATAAAGATTTGCTCCAAAAAATCTTATATAAGTTCTCGCCCCATCATGAAGTTCTTGGGGAGAATGCCATCCTCAAAGTAAATCCTTGTAAATTGAAGTCCAAAAATAGTAAAGTCTCAAAGTATTAAGGTAAAGTGCAAAACCATTATTTTTGCTTTGTGAGTTAAAGTCCAAAATTCTTCAATAATTCAGTTTTTCTTTGATTAGTCCAATTTTGTTTGATTATCTTTATATTTCTGTTTGCAATTTAAGAAGGGATAGAACTGCCACTGCCACTTGTACTTGCAATTACTGTTTCAGACTCCCAAGCTTCCTGCAACCTGATAGGGTAAACCTGTTAAGCGCGTAACAGCGGTAGGTTAGCCATCTGGCATCTCTGATACCAGGCAGCTCTCCAACTGGAGAATGCTGGAGTCAGTCTTTAGGTAGGCATAACTGTTTTCAGTTCTCATGGACTGTTGTTAAGAAACTCCTATTCCCAGTGCTTCATCAAATGGACCTATGTTGGACCAGTATGAGGAAAATGTATAGCTACTTAAAGCAATTTGGTTTTGGTCTTTCTTCAAAGAAATAGTAACAATAAGAGCCAGGGTGGAGGGCTTTCTGAATGAGTGCCAAACACTGACCTGTCGCTGACTTTTTTTCCTGCAGGACTCCCAACTACCAGTAGGAGTATCTTTGACAACTCTTGTGACCTTTGTGGACATTACCCAGAAGCCAGAGCCTCCAAGGGGCCAGCCCAGAATGGACTGGAAATTACCATTTGACTTCTTCTTTCCCTTCAAAGTGGCATTCAGCCGAGGAGTAGACTTTCAAAAAGGCTCAATCTTTCCCGTCCTAACACTCTGTCTCTTACTACTTTGGGTTCTCAGCCTAGGCCCTAAGTGAAGAAAGGAGGAATATTCAGACTTCAATTTTCCCTATGGGAAACTCCCAGGCAGCCTACTTATCCTGGCTAAACAGATGCTCACCTGCTCATTACCAGATTCATTACCTGAGGAGGACATTTAAAGAAACAGAAGATCAGAAGGAAGGAATCATTGGAGAAGATATTTAGAAAAGCAATAAGAAAGTACTTTATTCGTCGTATCTCTCTGTTTGGGACTCTGCCGACCAGACGCAGTATACATTCTCAGGCAGAGAGGACAAGGAGCCCTTCCGGTTGCGTGGTGCCTGACTAAAGGTTTGGAAGGTCTTCATCCACAGGCACCCTTGTGCCCAGGACAAAAAGGAACATGCCTATGCTGCCAGGCTGGGTCACCTCAGGAATAGCTTCCCTCTGGACATGAGAGCTGACTGTTCAGAATTGAAAACTGCTGGCTGGATATTTTGTCTGATTCCTCCCCACACCTTGGGCCACCCCCTTTGCCCAGGCTTGAGTCGGAAAAGCAATTCTTTCTCCTGTTTCCAAAACAAATGTGGAGTAGAATCCCAGCCCTCTTTTCTACTAGCAAATGACTCTGCCACCAGTTCTGCCCTCTCCTCCGCTCCATTGTGCCAAGAGAGAACACTGGGAGAGCTTTGTACTTTGAGTGCAGGAGCAGAGCAGAGGTCAGCCGCCATGTGGTCAGCCATGTGATTCCTCTGCTATCTGTGAGGCTTCAAGAAATTTTTTTATCAAGTATAATGTAACATTAACATCAGGGGACCTAGGTTCTTTTCCTGAGAAGTACACCGAGGGCCTCAACTTTATGGCACTAACATTAATTAGCAAGCTCAGCAAGACTTTTTTTTTTTTAAATAAGATAAAACTCATTTACAAAGGGCAATGCAGGCAGGCATGGTTAGGCCCTGCCTGCCTGACCAATTCCGAGAGTCTGCCTTGCAGAGCAAACTACTATAAAAGGTACTTTCCCATGGTCATTCTTTTGTAGAGAAGAATTGTTTGGGAAATAAAACAGAAAAATTGCAAAGCAGGAAGTATAAAAAGATGTAGGCCTGGTTATGGATTGAGCTGTGTTGCTCCGAAATATGTCATAAATCCTAACCCCTACATATCTGGATAAATCCTATCTGGGAATCGTTTTCCGTGTTGTGGTAATAAAGCTGTATCTGTAGAGTACATATTGAAGCCAGTCACTGTTTTTCATTGTATATCTTTTGAAATCCTTGGTTGTTGTTGCTGAGCAGGCACACAGCAAGCATACCCCCATCCAACAGCAGCTACACAGACAAGGCAGCGACATGGGTCACCTGCTTCAGGTCACACAGCCGTTCTTGCTCTACTTTCCCAAGTTGTGGTTCCTCCATTGTCCTAAGCTCCCTGACCCCTGAGGTGCTTAGCTAATCTTGCAGAATGCTGCACATCATTTTGATCCCCTATGGACAGATCTTAAAAGCGCACAGAGCTCTGGGAAGACCTTTTACGATTGCTTGTTTTTGAGAAAACTTTAGGAGCTGATTTTAAGATTTAGGAGTCTCTCAGGGCAATAGTTTTGGGGGTCCCTGCAGCCTCTATGGCTCTATTTCCTCCTATTCCCAACTCCTTCCTGTATTATATTGTGCCTTGGATGGGTGCTTGAAGACCCCTGGGACTGTGCAACAGAGGAGGAGGAAGAACAGAATAACATAACATACTATTAGGCTAACGAACTGGTTTGTCCCATGAAACCTAAACTTCCAAGCCAAGGAATAAAGTCACCAGGTATTTGGTCGGACACAAGCAGCCTCAGCAACTACTTGTTGCTTTTAGTCGTTATCACAGAACTTGTGCCTTTTCAAGTTTTCACGGGTATACAAATTACTGACAGCAAGTACATTAACGGCTAAGTAGCTTTACCTTAATATGACTTTAGCGTGACCACAATCTGAAACTTGATACTCCATGAGCAATAAACCACTCCTTTTTTCTCCCATTCCTGTAAACACAAATAATAAATTTGGGTCGTTATACAATATACATATATTGTCTTTTATGTAAGTGAAGGCATACAGTATTTGTCTTTTAGTGCTTATTGCACTCAGTATAATGTAAATTTCGTATTGTGGCATGTATCAAGAATTCAGTTACGAGTGAGTGGTATTCCTTTATTATGCATGCACCACACCAGGATTGGAGGAAGACTTACTAATGCAGATATGCAGGTGGCACACTTGGCTTGCTGAAAGCAGAAAGGACTGGATGTGAATGAACTATGGAATGCTATGGTATCTGTAAGACTTCCCAATAAAATGGTTTGGGGGAAAAAACAGACTTGAAGTACTTAATTAAAGAAACAAGGACTACAGTTTTCAATATGGATGATACTTCAACATCAAGGAAACAAAAATCCAACTAAACCAATAATATAACTGAAGATTTTGGGGTTTGCTTGCATCCATGCTCAATACCCACGGAAGCAGCTGTTACATCTAATGACTGACACTGGGGAATTCCGCCGAAGATCTCTATTGAAAACAGAAGTGTGTCTGATCCAAGCTATGGTATTTCAAGTTACCACATAAACATGCAAAAGCTGCACAGTTAATAAGAAGCTCAAAGAATTGATGCCTTTGGATTGTTTTACTGGTGAGGAATATTAAGTAGACCAGGCGTTTCCAGGACGACAAACGACTGTCTTAGAAGAAGGCGTTCGCGTGCTCTTTGGAATAAGGATAGCAGGGCTTTGTCTCACGTACTTTGGACACATCAGGAGGGAGCAGTCACGGGAAGGAAGTGCTTGGGTAAACGTGGTCAGTGAGAGGGAGGACGGATGACCTGCGATGAGAGGGCCTGACAGTGGCTTCAGCAGTGGGCGTCAGCCATAACAGTGATTGTGAGGATGGCACCGGGCCAAGTAATATTTTGTTTTTGTTCTGTTGTACGCAAGTTCAGTATGAGTTGGAACCAAGTCGGTGGCATCTAACATCACCACCTGACTGACTGCTCATCTTGGTCCCAGTTCAAATCCCTGGGTGAGCTGATCTTAAATGGCTTACTTTGGGTCAGGTGTCCACTCTGATCCAGCCAGCTGTGCCTGGGAGAGGAGAGTCACGCAGATAATGTGAACAGGGAGATCCAGTCTACACCGTCACAGAGCTCTGACCAATGGGAATTCAGAGAAAAGGGAGCAGTCTGAGAAGGTGGGTATATTATATGAGTTGATAATTGGGCAAAACACCTCAATGAAATCAGTTACAGTGGAAACATGGGAAACCCTCAGTTGACAAAATCAGTACAAACCAACAGTCACGAAGAGGGCACAGGACGGGCAAAATTTCATTCCCATAGGTAAAGTTGTCATGACTCAGAGCCCATTCAATGGACACTAACAATATGTAGGATTGTGCTATGGTTTCACAAACCAGGCTGCACCTCGGAACCATTAAGTAGATAATAGTTTCTTAGCACCCCCACATCACAGGCCTCCTTTTACCAGTGAGTCATCATCTCTGGAATCAGTATTTTTATAACCCCTGCAAGGTGGACTCCCATTTGGAACCACTGCTGTACATGTGCCCCTCGATGAGATTAATTGACACAGGGGCTGCAGCAATGGGCGCAAACATGACAGTTGTGAGGACGTCACGATTGTGTGGTTTTTTTGTTCTGTTTACACAGGTTCACTGGGAGTTGAAATTGACAGCATCTAACAACAAAAAGAATCCCCACCAGCCTGTATGATCACAGGTGTCACGTATGGGGCATCAGAACCCCCAAAACATATCAGTGTGCACAAGTTGGGTAGGAGTGGAAACCCAAAGCCCATCTGTAGACAATTGAACATCCTTGCACAGAAGGGTTACAAGGAAGGGAAAAGTCAGCCAGGGTGCGTGCAGTATAGCATCAATGAAACAACATTCCTTAGTTCTTTAATGCTTCCCCCATCCCCACTATCATGACCCCAGTTCTACCGTACAAATCCAGCTAGACCAGAGCATGTACACTGGTAGAGATAAGAGCTCTCGACAGGGAATCCAGGACAGATAAACCCCTCAGGACCAATAATGAGAGTAGCGATACAATGAGGGTAAGAGGAAGATGGGAAAAAGGGAACCGATCACAATGATTGATGTACAACACACACACCCAGGGGGACAAACAGAAACATGGGTGAAAGGAGACAGCGGGTGGCATACGAGATGAAAATTATAATTTATCAAGGGTTCACGTGGGTGGGGGAGGGAGGGAAAAAGCTGATGCGAAGGGCTCAAGTAGAAAAAATGTTTTGGAAATGATGACAGCGAATGTACAAATGTGCTTGGTTCAATTGATATATGGATTGTTAAAAGAGCTGTAAGAGCCCCCAATAAAATAATTTCTTAGAGAATCCCATGATCATCAAGAATGAGGGCAACTGAGCCCACAGGAAGTCCTGTATGAAATGGCAGGAGCAACAGAAGCACCATTGGCCAAGACCAGGAAGCCAGAGTCAAGCTGAGTGTCCTCAGGCAGGAAGTTAGCTTGCAGAGTGGGGTGCGCTTTACTCATCTATCAGTGCTAAGGAGCCTTTGTAGCACTTGCCCAAGCAAGGAAGAGGCCAAGGGACTGCATGGCTGAGGGGCTGAGGACCAGAAAGAGAGGTGCTAATGGCATAGCTGGAAAGAGACACTGCTGTAGACAGGACTGTATCCTTAATGTTTTCTGATGTTGATTTATAGTAACTTATGAACTTCCCAAATCCTGAAAAATAAAAAAGAGGCCTAGAATAGAATTGGAAAGGATTGGAATGCAAAAGTTGGAAACAAAGAGGAATGAACAGTAGTTGGAAAGTATGGTCTTGGTGATAGAAATGAGGCTGGAGATCACATGATAGAATTTTGCCAGACCAATGACTTCATCACAATACCTTTTTCAACACAACAGCTATTATATACATTGACTTCTCCAGATAGAAATGGACTATATCTGTAAGAAGAGATAATGGAGAAGTTCAAGTCCACCAGAGCCAAAAGATGACCTTGAGTCTCTCCTATCTGAATCTCGAGAAAATCTCAAAAACAGATTTGGTGCATTGAACACTAATGACAGAAGACTTCATGAACTAACTGTAGCTCGTCATACATGAAGAAAGCAAGAGGTCAACGTGGATGGCAGAAAAGACAAAATTGTAGGGTAGTTAAGGTAAATGGAAGAAATGATGAAGCCAAAGTGCTGAAAAACTTTTTCAAAGGGCATCTGAAGAAGACAAAGTAAAATAGTATAATGAAATGTACAAAGACCTAAAGTTAGAAAACCAAAAAGGAAAAACACACTCAGAATATCGTAGGTTGAAAGAATTCAAGAAAAAATTGAAAACTTGGTTGCAACATTAAAGATTCTGTGGGAAAATACTGATATTGAATGATGCAAGAAGCATCAAAAGAAGATAGAGTAAATATTAGAGTCACTGTACCAAGAATAATTAGAGGACATTCAACCATTTCATGAGGTAGCATCCGAGCAAGAACTAACGGTATTAAAGGAAACAGTCCGATCTGCACTGAAAGCATTAGCCAAAACCAAGGGGCCAGGACTTAAGGAATAGCCATTGAAATGTTTCCTCAAGCTGATGAAAGCCTAGAGACATTCATCTATATCAAGAAATTCAGAAGACAACTACCTGGCCCACCGACTGGAAGAGATCCATATTTTACCCATTCCAAATAAAGGTGACCCAACAGAATGTCCAAATTATAAAACAACGCCATGTATGCCACACGATCATCCAACAGCAGTGGCAGCACCACATTGACAGGGAGTGGCCAGAAATTCAGTCTGAATTCAGAAAAGGACATGGAACAAGGGATATCATTGCTTATGTCAGAGGAACTTTGGCTGAACGCAGAGAATACTGGAAAGATGTCTACTTTGTTGGCTATGCAGTGGGAGTATGAAACAATAACAAACTATAAAGAATGGGAGTCGTGAGAAAAACGGGAAGTCCAGAACACTTGTGCTCATGCAAAACCTACCCACGTATCAAGAAGCAGTTGTGCAAAAAGAAAGGGAACACCGCACGGTTTAAAATCAAGAAAGGTGCACATCAGGGTTGTGTCTCTCGGCATACTTCATGTGTCTGCGGAGCAAATAATCAGAGAATCAATTAATGAAGAAGGATGCAGCAGCAGGACTGGAGGGTTATTAACAACCTGTGCAGATGA